TGTAGAGTATCATGTATGTCATCTGCAAACAATGATAATTTAACTTCTTCTTTTCCTATCTTTACTCCTTTTATTTCTCTCTCTTGTCTAATTGCTCTGGCTAGTACTTCCAGTACTATATTAAATAGGTGATAAAGGACATCCTTGTCTTGTGCCTGATTTTAAAGTAAAGGCTTTCAATTTTTGGCCATTTAGTATGATGCTCGCTGTTGGTTTGTCACAAATGGCCTTTATTATATTGAGGTAAAGACAATCTATTTCAATTTTCTGTAAAATTCTTATCATGAATGAATGTTGGACCTTATCGAAGGCTTTTTCTGCATCTATAGAAATGATCATATGATTCTTACTTTTGGCTTTATTGATATGGTGGATTACATTTATTGATTTATGTATGCCCATCCCTGCATTCCTGGGATGAATCCCACTTGGTCATGGTGTATAATCTTCTTGATGATTTGCTGCATCCTATTTGCCAATATTTTATTGAGGATTTTTGTATCTGTGTTCCTTAGGGAGACTGGTCTATAGTTCTCTTTTTTAGTTGGGTCTTTCTCAGGTTTTGGCACTAGAGTAATATTTGCTTCCAGGAATGACTTAGGAAGGATTGCTTCCCTTTCAATTTCATTGAATAGTTTGAGGAGTGTCGGCATTAGGTCTTCTTTGTATTTCTTGTAGAATTCTGCAGTGAATCCATCTGGGCCTGGGCTCTTCTTTGTAGGTAAGGAGTTAATTACATGTTCAATTTCATTAATAGAGATTGGGTTATTCAGCAGTTTCACATCCTCTTGATCTAGCTTTGGTACTTTATATGTTTCTAGGAATCTGTGTATTTCTTCTGTGTTACCAAACCTTTGAGAGTAGAGGTTTTCGAAATAGGTGTTGATCTTCAGTGTTTCTGTAGAGTCTATAGTGATTTCACCTTTTTCATTTCTTATTGCATGAATTTGAGCTTTTTCTTCCCTTTTTAAAATAAGGTTGGCTAGGGGCTTATTGATTTTATTTAATCTTTCAAAGTACCAACTCTTTGATTCGTTGATTCTTTGGATTGTTTTCTTGGTTTCTATTGCATTGATGTCTGCTCTGATTTTTATAATTTCCTCTCTTCTTTTGGCTTTGAGCTTGACTTACTCTTTTTTTCTAGCTGTTTGAGGTGTAGCATCAGGTTATTTATTTGTATTCGTTCTGTTTTCCTGATGTGGGAACTCAGTGCAATAAATTTTCCTCTGAGGATGGCTTTCATTGCATCCCACAGATTCCGTTAAGTTGTATCTGCATTTTCATTTTCTTGTAGGTATGTTTAATTTCTTCTTTAATTTCTTCTGTGACCCACTGATTACTCAAGAGTGTGTTATTCAGTTTCCATGTGTTTGTGGGATTTTTGCAGTATCTTTTATCATTAATTTCTAATTTCAAAGCTCTATTATCTGATAACATGCAAGGGATGAATTCAACTCTTTTGCATTTGTTTAAATATGTTCTGTGAGCTAATATATGGTCTATTTTAGAGAATGACCCATGTACTGCTGAGAAGAATGTATATTCTGATGTTGTTGCCGGGAACATTCTGTATATGTCTATCAAGACCATTTGTTCATAGGTGTGATTCAATTCTGTTATTTCTTTGCTCATTTTCTGTCTGGTTGATCTGTCCCTTGGTGTCAATGGTGTGTTAAGGTCTCCTATTACAATTGTGTTACTGATAATTTGAGTTTTCATTTCTGTTAATAATTGTTTTATATAACTTGGTGCTCTGGAGTTTGGTGCATATATATTTAAGATAGTTATCTCTTCCTCTTGGAGTTTTCCCCTAACGAGTATGTAGTGACCTTCTTTGTCCTTTATGGTCATTGTTGGTTTAAAGTTCACATTGTGTGCAAACAGAATGGCTACTCCTGCTTATTTTTGGATTCCTGTTGTGTGAAGTATTGCTTTCCATCCTTTGACTTTCAGTCTGTGAGTATTTTTCTGGGTTAGATGGGTTTCCTGTAAACAGCATATGGTTCGATTTTATTTCTTGATCCATTCTGCTAGTCTGTTTCTTTTGATTGGTGCATTGAGACCATTTACATTAACGATTATAACTATTATATGCTGGTTTATTGTTGACATGTTATCCCTCTCTGTTGCATCTTTATCTTTCTGTTCTGTTTAATTATCTGCTTTGCTTAGTGGTTTTTTCCTTTGTGTATCTAAACTGTCTCTCAATATTTTTTGCAGGGTTGGCTTGGTGTTCATGAAGTTCTTCAGCTGTTCTTTGTCATGGAAGTATCATATTTCACCATCGATTTTGAATGATAGTTTTTCAGGGTAAATCAGTCTAGGTTGGAAATCATTTTGCTTTAGGATCTGGAATACTTCACTCCATGCTCTTCTTGACTTTATTGTTTATGTTGAGAAGTCTGCTGTGATTCTGATAGGTTTTCCTTTATAAGTGATCTGTCTTTTCTCTCTGATAGCTTTTAATAATCTATTCTTGTGTTGGATTTCTGGGATGGTGATTATTATATGTCTGGGTGTAGTTTTATTTTGGTTATGACTATTTGGAGTTCTATAGGCTTCACTGAACCTGATGTCGGTTTCTGATCTCATGCTTGGGAAATTTTCAGCTATTACTTCTCTAAATATCCTCTTGACATCCTTTATGCTGTCCCCTTCTTTTTCATTAATCCCTATCAATCCTATGTTATTTTTCTTTGCATCATCTTGAAGTTGTTGAATTGTTATTTTCTGATTCCTTGTTATTTTTAAAAGATCTTTCCTTTCCTGTTTACTAGCTGCAATCCTGTCTTCAAGGTCTGAAATTCTATCTTCACTTTCATTGAGGTGGTTTTTACAGCTTTCAGTGGAGTTTTTTGTTTTCTGTATATCTCTGTGCATCTGCTTTATGTATTCTGTTTGTTTCTTATATTGCTCATCTAGGGATTCTATCTTTTTGTTTAGTTCCTCCAATTTTTTAACTGTGTTTTCTTTAGATATATTCAGGATCTCTTTAATTTCTTTTATCATTTCTTCTTTTACCTGGGAGATTATTTTGAGTTTGAATTCCTTTAAAGCTTCCTGGAGTTGCTTGTTAATTTCAGTAGCTATTATGTCCGATATTTGAGGTGTATGGCATATATTTTCTTCTATATACATCGTTCCTAGGGTTTCTTTAGATGGGCTAGAGATTTGAGGTTGTAATTTGGTCTTTCATTTTGTCATTTTCCTATATTTCTTTGTTTCAAGTGTTATTCGAAAGCTTCCTCAGGGTCTGTTGGAAATCCACTTCTATGTTCACAGCTCCTGTGACTCTGGCACCCAGTTCCCCTAGGCTGCTGGGCCTCTAGAACCAGTGGCCCTCTTCTGCCTGTTTAGAACTCCGTAGTTCCAGATAAGCTGGGCTCCAGGGACACTGTGTGCCTGCCTGCTTGCTGGAAACTCCACAGTTCTCCAAGCGCAGCTGGAATGGGGAGAGCCATTACTTGCTTCTTACAGCCCAAGAATTACTTGTCTGATGGGTGAGTTTGGCAGAAGGGAGTTAAAAGACCTTCTGCCTTCTTCCTTAGAGGTGCTCTTCCCTCTAGAGTGGGCAGTGGTGTAATCTCCAGCCCTATTCTTTCAGTGGGCTCTTGGGGTGAGTGAGAAAGCTGTCTGAGTAATATGTGAGGTGCTAGCATGACTGTCACAGCAGACCTGAAGCCTCAGGTCCAGGCAAGCTGTCTTTCCTCAGTTGTGATACTCCAGCTCAATCATTTCAGCCTAACTCATCTGTCCCTTCCTCACCCTTCTTGACTTCCCCACTGCTGGCTCCTCTCAGCAGGAAACAAGTTTATCAAGTTGCATGGAAATGTCCTTGAAAAAGTTGGTTGTAAATCTGAAAGCATAGTTTTAGTCTCTGAGGAAGGGAAAAAAAAATGAAATAGAAAAACAGTGGTAAGACCGGAGTATAGGGGGCCGTGGGGCGTTTTGAAGAACGGAGAACAAGAACTAGATTGGAACAGGAAAGAAGAAAGATGTAGAAATAGATTCTCTTCCTCTTTTCCCTCCCCAGTCAAAAGTCAAGCCTTTGCAATGTGAAGAAGGAAAAACTGAGACACAGATTTAGAAAAGGGGTGCCTGAAATTTAGTTAGATACCACAGAGTTTGTTGATATCAAAGCAAAACTGAGTTTTGGGGCAATATTAGATAATATGTATCACTCTTTATCACACTCAGAGGCCTACAGTGTGTGTCAGGATAAAGCCAGGATCCTGGAACCTGCCTCCTGAAGAAAGGGGTACAGTCCCACCATATCTGCTGGATCCCCCCATCCTCTGGGCAGACAAGGCCAGCAGCTTAACTGCATCTTGTGCTCATTTTGCATGCTCCCAATTATTAGGCTCAGTATTTTTTCCTTCTGCAGGCGTGTAGCTTTCCAATCTCTAATCAGAGTTCTGTTCTAACACTGTTCAGCACTTTTGCCCTAGATGGACTTACCTATGCTGCACGATATTAGAGCTCTTTTTTTATGTGCTCCCTACTGTCTAGCCATAAGCCACTAACAAACTACATGCAGTCATGCATACGTCTTCTTCAGACCCTTTCCCTGCAGTAGTCTTTTGCCTTTGATAGTTCACAGCTGTCTGTTAGATAGCCTCACTCACTTGAAGACCACACTTGAAACTCAAAAATAATTTGACTTTCTGTTAAAGGCAAAACTTTCAAAGGTCATTTGAAATTTGTCATTTGAGGATAAATGGTGTGGACTAATGTGATTATTTGTCCAGAGAACACAGTTCCATGCCAGCTATGCGCCAGACACTGGCTCAGTCATGTGGGACAGAGAGGGCACATGCCAGGAAGGATAGAGGTACCACATGTGATGTATTTTGTTATCAAGGAGTTCAAAAAATGAAGGTCAGGTCTGTACTAGAAATAGATTGTGCTCAAAAGTCTTGTCCACCTGCTCTTGTTACAAGCTGTTAGAAGGTTGATTAGGTCATCTGGTGTTATCAGCATGCATGTCTCCTTTTATCCAGGGGATATGCAACAAAGCACATTATCGAAGGTCTGGAACCAAGGACACTGTATAGATTTCGACTGAAGGTCACCAACCCCTCTGGAGAATATGAGTACAGTCCAGTCATCTCAGTGTCTACAACCCGTGAGTACACAAATACTGTATGTACATTTATCTAGAGATACATGAGGATGACCAATAACTTAGAAGTTAAAATATTCTGCTGTTTCCACCCTTTACTAGATGCAGAAAGAATTTAATTTTTAAGCACCGTGATGATGTTTACTGGCTGGACCTGGTCATAACATATAACATAAGAAAAATTCAGTTATGCTTTCACAAACTGAGAGAGCCTATGTTTATGCCAGAAATGTCCTGTTCATGGATCTTTGGCACAAGGGTGGGGCCACCTTTCTCAGGTGGAGAACAAAGAAGGTGGGGCTAAGCAAACTACCGGTTTGAGTGTCCTTGGTTAGGTGGTCTGCTCGGAGACGATTCACTCTGGGACCTCAATCTGCCTCCTAACGGGTCACAGACACTGATTTCTGGGTATCGTGAGTGAGGAATCATGAGTGTACTGCTCCCAGCCACAGAGGACTCTGGAGGGAGGGTATGCAGAGGGGGTGGCCAGAGAAACCAGCTACAGTGCCTCAGACTACTTCTTCCTGGCCTCAGTTTTACAGTATTTACTGAAAATATTTTTATTTTCAGTATTGGGGATTGAACCCAGGTCCTTGCACATGCTAGGCATGGAGTTCTGCCACTGAGCTATGTTCTAGGCCTTTTATTTTATTTTTATTTTTACTATGAGATAGGAACTTGCTAAGTTGTATGGGTTGGCCTCAAACTTGGTGATCCTCCTCCTGCCTCTCTGCATCCTAGATAGCTGAGATTGTGAAACTGATATTAAACATTTTAAAGATGTATGTGTCCACTATTATCTTTGAGCTACAGTGTTGCACAGATTAAAATGGTCAGAAACATCCTTTGTGGCCCACTCATTGACAACACAGAGTAGTTTTTTCCTGGGTTGCATGAAGGAAATCTTCCTTTTGTCAGTGAAGTTATTTTTTCAATTTCATTCAACGTGGCGTTTGTCTTGTATACATTTTCTGTGAATTTCAATTGTACCCTTTAGGCATTTATTCATGAAAATTTTTGCGTCGACTAAAGGTAATGTAGATTTTGAGTTAGCCTGTAATACTTTCAATTCCAAACATGGCATAAGGGGATTGGATCTCAGTTTAGCAAAGCAAGAGTTTAGTTAAAGCTCAAAGTGGGGATTCTAGATACATTCCTAAATGATGCTCAGCTGGCTGTGAAAAAAAATGTAATTTCAGAAAATACTTTTGAAGTGAAATGATCAATTATGGAGATGCAGGTCAGGAAGGAAGGCCTGTTCCTGAAATGCTAAATCATTTGCTTTTTATAAAGGAGATGGTTGGCCTCTGGAGTCCTTAGGAGGAGGAAAAGGAGGCTGGCCACTGGAAAGCCAGTGAGCTCTTTGCAAGGGCTGGCGAGACTTGGCAGATTCACTTTGCATCTGAACAGTCTCTCTCCAAGGATCACCCAACTGGATGCTCTCCTAGGATTCCTCTCTACTTCGTTCAGTCCTCCTGCTTCCCCAGTCACCCACAGGTCTTAGGCCACTCTGGCATTCATGCCATTGTCCCTCCTTTCTGGAAAAACTGATCCCGTTCCGCCTGTTGGACCTGCTCCTTGGGCAAAGTCATCTGGGGTGAGGGTGGATTCCTCATGTAGCTTTCCTTTTCCATGCACATGATTCAGCTCTTCCTGCAGTCCAAAGCAGTGCCTCACCACCTCAAACAACACTTCTTTCATCTTGTTTGTCTGCCTATTGACTCACATGTACAATGTGTGCTTCTAGAGGAAAAGGGAGCTAGGTCAGCATGAAGGAGGACCTTGATAGATGGATGCATGGTGAACTAAGGCCCATAGACAGCATTAAGAGTATGAAAAAGAAACACTGGTTTTCTTGGCTTGAACTCATGTCTGTTGGGAGATAAATCCATTTTTCACCAACTAGGCTGAGTCCACTTGAACTTGCCAGGTAAGGCTAACAAAGTTGGTTCTGCAGCCAAGTATGGTGATCTCATAGCTCATCAAAGCTATGGAGTTGCTGTGCCCTATGGAGCTCTTTTAGAGGACAGAAACCAACCTACCTCTATCAGCTGAGAAGGATTATGTTTATGGCTAGTGTGCCTTCTTGCCGAGCTGATTTTGGGGACACAGTCATAAAACATGTTGCAGGTATTCGTCATTATAGTCCTGCTGCTTCCATGAGTAATGACAAGGGCATGTTGGTGACAAGCAGGTGTGGTGGGTCTTCTGCACTGGTCCACTGTTAAGTATAGCACAAGTGTCTGTAACCGACAGCCACCTCCACCCGTTGGGTGATGGGGATCCAATATCCTCTTCCTTCTGCCCAAAGCAACCACATGGCTCTGCTGGCTGGCTGTTGGCTCCCTTAGCTATTGTTATATGTATAATATCTGAAGCAGACTCTCTTAAGGAGGCAGATCATGCTAACTGAAGAATTAAAAATGAGCACATTATACTGAGTAAGTGAAAATGCTTCTGTGGATTGATAATTTGCATTCAGTCTGCGAGCGTTCTAATGAATCACAAAAGTATATACTTTGTTTGAATAAAGGATGCTCAACCTCTTTTTTTTTTCCTTCCGAGGTAAAGTACATGGAGACTCTTGCTTAAATGAGGCATACAATTTTAATCAGCTGAACCCTTAAAAAGAAAGAAAAACAGCTGCTACTTGTTAATTGGCAAATGTCTTCTCCAGTGAGCTCATGATTTATTCACCGCTTCTAATAAAGACCTAAATTCCACCAAGAAAGGTGTTATCACCGTCCTATAATATCTGTGGGCACGCCTGCAGATAGATAACCTCTTACAGAGTGAGTGATGGCTTCCCAGAGATCACTCTCCTTGTGGGTGTCCCCGCTCAGATGCATCTCACCCAGCTCAGACAAGCATTTGAGCACCATCAGTGTGATGTTTGTAGTTGTGACACTCAGAGTAGACACTAGAAGATCAAACCCACACAGGCAAAGGCCTAGCTTTTTGGGCTTACTGGTGGCATTTTCTTGGGCCAAACCCACGGAGTCTTGGAGAGTTTTGGGGTGGGAAGGATACTAAACTGCTTACCTTGGAATTTCCTTCCTGTTCTTTGAGACTCCTGGCTATGGAGTGGGAGTAGAAGGAATTGCTGTGCACTGCAAACAAGGACCTTTTCTTTCCTCTGTCTTAGTCAAGTTCATGCAAACTGTGAGACTTTTCTGTGCCTCAATTGATTTACATGTTCTCAGTGGAGATTTGTAGCTCCTCTTTACTTTCCTGGGCGCAGTGTGTTTGAAGGAGGAGGGTGAATGACTTAATGCTGAGTAGGAGCCCTCATATCCTGGCCAACGGTGCTTGCTTTATTTTGCTGAAACTCAGCAATCAAGGAGTGATGAGCAATAGTGCTGCCTTCCTTTCACCTTGTGAAGGATCTATTTGTTCCCAGAATACACTTTGAAGCCCTGAATGCCTCTTGCAGAAATTGGAAGAGGCAATTTTAATTATATCATAATGTCAAAGTACCCTGGTCTTTCCTGCAAATAGTCCTCAAGCTTATGAGCATGAAATGGACTTATTTCATTTCACCACATTTGCATGCTACAGAGCTTCCTGGTGAGATGTGCTAGGAAGCGTTCTCATCAGGAGAACCGTGCTGTACAGGTGAGATGGGTGATAATGGAATGGAGGTGGTCAGTGCAGACATGCTGAGATACTGCAGGTGCTTGAAACTCCAATAAATTTGATTTTCTGAAGCTTCTTAAGCATCCCCTTTCAATTCACACTTTTGAGAGGGGAGTTGCCTTTAAGAAGTCTCTTTGTAGTCAAACTTTATTAAGACTGGAAGGGTACAGTGAATTGGCCAAGTATCTTGACATTTATTAAACACTAGAGAAGGAGGGGTGTGGTCTTAGGAAGGAGCTGGCTGTGTCTATCTCTATTTGGGTGAACTTGGACACCTGTCTGCGTCTGTTTTTGTGTGGAAGAAAGTTTTAAAAACATTGTGTGCAGCTTAATAGGATTTGATTCAGGTTAGTATACCACCACATTTTAAAATTAAGAAGAGAGAGGATGAGCTTCACATCTTGCTTAGGCGATTCTATCCACGTAACAGGCTTTAAGTGGTAGTGGGAGTTTGAGAACTATATAAATGAAGTTGTTGGGTGGGATAACAGGCATTTACGGTGACACAGAGCTCCCCTTTCTGGAAAGGAAAAGAAATAGTTTGTTGGTTTACTTCATCTAAAGTGTGGGTGGGTCGCATAATAGAGAACTTTAAGCCCATCTTCATCTAGCCCAAGGTTCTCAATCATGAAGCTGTTGACATTTTAGGTCTGGATAATTCTTGGTTGTTGGCAATCTGGGCTGTGTGCTGTGGGGGTGTTAAGCAGTATCCCGGCACCTCTCTGTTAGCTGCTAGTAACACCCCTCCCCCGTGACAACTAAAATGTCACCTGACATTGTCCAATGCCCTTGGGAGTATAAAACTATCTCTTAGTCCTCCAGTGAAGGGTGCAGGGTGGGCAGATTTCCCTTGGAGCAGCTATGGACCTTGGCCTTTGATGGTTTATCATGACAGTTTTACTTGAAACTTTTGATCTAAAATATGCACAGAATGATGAAAGGGAAGTATAAGGTGGCTAACACATCCTTTAATGACCAGCAAATAGCAGGCACAATTATTATAAAAAAAACCTTAAAGTGGCATAAATCGACTTTTACCTGAAAAAAGAGAGTGTCAGCAGAAGCCATTCTGACCCACTACATTCCCAGTTTTTACAGTTTAGTTTGTATGGCGGACATCTAAGGAAACCAGAAACCAATGTCCCAAGTAGATTCGCTGCTGTGAGAAGCAGAAAGAGGGCAGCTGACTGACCTCTGCCTGCTCGACCTTATAAGGGAGACAAAGCAAGTGGTGAGCCCTAGGAGGCCGTCGGGGGTACAGTGCAGATGATGGAGCAGGCATTGGGTGTTTTCTTTTAGGATTTAGAATGTGACAGGCTGAAAGTGAATACTACAGTGTAAATCAGAATGGGGTGCCTATTTGTCCCATTTTCAGTAGGACCTCAGTCCCTAGAGTATGATCTGGCATGTAAGTTACTTCACAAGTATGTGTTGAATGAATGCATGAGGTCTGTCTAGGGAGAGGCTGTAGACCATGAATTATGACCTCAAAAGCCATTGTAAGGCAGACAGTGGTGCGAGAGTAGGCACGGATGCTGAGTACCTGGTTGGCCGTGGGTGAAGGGTGGGCTGCAGCACAGGATCATGGCAGTGGCCACTCGTATCACTCTGACTGCAGGAGTAAGTGTGCCAGGGTATTTACAATGTGCTGGGAACTATTCTACATGCTTGACTTGTGTTTCCTTTAAACTTAGCCGTCACAATTTAAAAAAATTGGACAGGCACGGAATACGAAGGAAATGAAACAAATGTTTTGAAAGGATGGGCTGCTTTTCGGTGGCCCTTCCTCCCGAGACTCTGCTCCTGTGGGTCTCCCCGCCTTGTTCTTGTCCCTGCAGAGTGTGTGTGCCCTGTGCAAAGCCCTCCCACACTCTCATTTGCAACTAATGTTAAGTCTTTCGTCTTTCTCAGACTTACTCTACTGGCCCTGCACTACTTGGCACGCTTTCTCCCTGATCCGGTTTTCTCATGTGCTCCCATCTCCCTTGGGTATGAACCCCATCTGCCAGCACAAGCTTTGGGTACCCAGGGTCAACATATTCATCATATTCCTGGGAAGAATGGACAAATTCCACTTTTAATGTCAGATAAACTTGTCCTTTGTTGTTCAAGCACCTCAGCTGGTCTTTAGCAAATAAACCCAGCATATTGTGACAATTGCTGAGCTTTCCCTTGCTTAGAAGAGATGTTTACTAAGCCATATGAAATCCACAAGGATTATTATCAAACGCCTCAAAGCAATACTTTATAACTTGACAACGTCCCACACCTTTAGGTCAGTCTAAATGTTCTCCTAATATGTGAAAATTGGGTCTTTTACAATAAAAAAGAAGCAGTTAAGTGGAAAATGTAAGATGTTTACAGGAACAGACCAATGTTTTCTTGAAGGTGAACAAGAAGTAAAAACTGAAGGCCATGTGAGAATATAGCAGGAATGAGTTTCCTATCATTATATTTTGGATGACTGCTTTCCATCTAATTTCTTTAGGAGAACCCATAAGTAGCGAGCACTTTCATCGAGCTGTCAATGTGAATGATGAAGATTTGCTCATTCAGATACTTGAAGGAGGGTGAGAGATCTCTGCTAGCTTTCTTTTTAAATGCTCAAAAAAAGAATAGAAATACATGATGTAGCTTTGTTGTCCTAAAAATGCCCATGCCTTTTAAGCTGCTTTCCAAACTGATTTCAGGTGAATGATGTGAATTAGTAAGACATAGTTAATGATGAGGATTATAAAACCCCAAGTAAATATTACAGTCTATAATTATTTAATGAAATCTAAAAGAAACTTGCAAATGTGTCATATCTTATTTTCCAAAATAATTTCTGCCACTTGCTTACATTGTGGCAAGTTGGTAAATTTCACCCCAAAATGCACACATCTAATTCCTGATGAAGCTAGGACGTCTCTAAGTTAGCTACTTTCTGATTTAGAAGGTTGGTAGCCACTGGAGAAAAGAGGTGTGTTGGAGTTACTGAAGATGAGGCATCTCAAGCTGCCTCCTAAATGCAAAAGTGATGTTTAGATTCCTTTTGGATCAAGTTTTGAGTGCCTTAAAAGACAGGTGGCTTGTGAATTTGGCCTCTGTAATCTGAAGAGAATGTTTCCACCAAAGCCAGTCTCCTAAGATGACTAAAAGCTCTGCTTTTCCCTTTGAGGGGCATCATTTTATACCTATTAAACGAGGAGGGTCAAAGGTAAAATGCAAGTTTCTATCAATATGCTCGCATGCTCAGTGCAGCTATCGAGGTCTGCAGTGAAGACACTGTCCTCAGCTAACTTTAAGAGGCTATGTCCGTCAAAGAGACCTACAACAGTGGAAGCGAACTGTGGCATGCATCCTGCAGGGTACTGTTACTGTAAGCTCTAAAAGGTTTGCCTTCACTAGCCTACAAGAACTTGAGACTTGGCAAAATGAACTATTTTAGCCTCTGCTGTAACCATTTGTAGCCACCAGTTACATGGAGCTATGATAAGCATGTTAATCTCTTTCTCTGTTTTCCCCAAGCCATGTTAAAGTTGATGTTCCCAATAAGTTTGGCTTTACTGCTCTGATGGTCGCTGCCCAGAAAGGATACACCAGGTATAGCTCTCTTCTTTGCTTATTTGAGGGTTGGTTAAACTCTTTATTTCTCTCAGTCTGGATGGGGATGGGAGGGAGTAAAACTGAAGGGGAATCCAGTTCCTTTTTTCCAAACTGTGCCATATAATGGCTTCCAAACTCAGCTGCTTTAATCATAAGGTTAATATGCAGGAAAAATGTAAAATGTATAACCATATTAGGGGAGAGATGCGCAAAATGTATCTTTTATGTCCTGGGAACATGAACAATTGAAATTTCAATTTCTTTAAACAAAACAAAACTGGGTGAGGGGATTCTGGAATGCAAATGTCACGAGAGATTGCCAAAATATAATTTTGATGCCATATTTATCCTTTAACTGTTGCACAGAGTTAGGCATAAATGCTAACATCTTATTTTTAATCATATTTATATTTTAATTACAGTGCCAATTAAAAAAGAAATATGTTTTCATTTATTGTCATTTGAAAATATATAAAAATGGTCATTAAAATGAGTTTTTTTGATAATCTAATTTGTGTCATGTGGGTTAGTTAGATTTTAATGAGTAGTTCATATACTGTGAAGGGTAGCAATCTGTCTGGTGTGGAGCAGCAGTTTCCACTCTTGAATACAGATAGTCCTCATTTAACAACCTGCCTGTTTAACAGCTGTTTGGACCTGACACTTGCTGCTCGGACTTACCACACGCGTTTGAACGTACACAGCAGAAATGTGAGCAATGGTACAACCTTAGGGTGGCTGCTGTTGCCCCCTTTTTAAATGATAGCAGGATATTATTAAAGGTAGGAAACTGCAGAGTGAGTGTGGGCCAAGTAAAAGTACGAAAAGAAGTACACCCTACCACATGCGAATGGGCCACTATACAATAGAGAACACAGTGGCAGAAACTCAGTGTGGACTGTCCTTTTTGTATCACCCACTCCTCAAACTGATATCAAGTCTAGGCCCTCCTAGCAAATACCTGCTCCAGTTCTTGCAAGAAGTCCATGTGTAGAGCTTTGGGAACTCTTCTGTGCATGTGTCCTGGGGTTTATAATTAACAGGTGATGCCTACTTCTCCAGCCAGCCCCTGATCTCCTATCTCATTTCTCCTTGAGAAACACACATACCCATAATTTTTTATGGGGTGCTGAGGGAGTGGAAGTCTCCATCTTCATATAGCTGCTTCCTGCTGAAAGCAGCAGTTAGCTCTAACTACTGGGGATTATGTGTCCTCTTACTACCTTGCGGTGTTGTGGCTCACTGCCTGGGTTAAAGAAAAAAAAAAAAAGCTCAGAAAATGAGAAGAGAGTTAGTAACTGTTGAGTTGTCTGATTGATGGAAAAAAGAAAGTGACTTTATTATTATGTTTGCGATGTAAAGCCCAAATATGAGGAGCAGGTCAGATGTCTATACTTGTTGTGGAGGACAAAGTATAGCAAAGAGGAGGTTAGATACACTATTGAGAGCCTGAGAAACATAACCTTAGGAAGATTACCCACATAATAGATCTAATTAAAAACAGGAGCCTCAGGACAGGTGCCCATTTAAAATGTGGTGGGTTAGGGTCATTAATGACTAATTATCGGCACCCAGTTTGATGCTGGAGTCTTGCTTTCCGAAGAGGAGCCTCAGGTCTTCCAGAAGTTCTCAAGAATAGCTTTCTTCTTAGTCCTGTGTAAATTCTATGGACCATTTCCCATATAGGATTTTTAGGGTTTGTCACTATGTCCCTTGAGGAAAGACCATAGTGGTTTCTCAGCTACTGACTATAAGGCTAAGGTCTTGAGGGGTTGTAGGGCTATCCTTCTTGCCTCCCTATCAGCCTTTTGATTTCCCAGAGAGATGTTACACCGATATCCTGCCTACTTCATAGGTCTGGGAAATTAGTTATTTGCAAGAGTGGCTAACTTCCGGACCTGTATGTATCAGAGAGGCAGAATTAAGAGACGTGTGAGTTTTTATAACAACCTCAGGGGTGTCTAAGAGCATGGCCTGATACTTGGCAACCTATTCCCCTGTTAACCTCAAGTAACCTTTAGTCTCAAGAATTGCTCTGACTTGATGGGGAAGCAGTACTTGTAGTTTCTGTCCTAAAGTTAGTTTTGCAGTTTCCTCTGTTAGTATAACTGTAGCTGCTATTGCCTCAAACATGATGGTCATCCAGAAGCCACTCCATCTAACTTAGACACTCAAAGCAGTTTCTGTCTTTTCTGATAGGTAGAAGAAGGGATTTCTTGACTCAGGTATTTTATTATATCATGCAGTAGGTTCTACTTGTTGGCTAGTTAGGTCAGGGAGACCTAGGATATTCCCGACAGATAAAATCCGTTTTGGCCTTTATCAGAATTTGAGAATTGCCTCCACTTTTACTAGTAAATCTCTTCCTAGGAAAGGAGCAGTGTGGGACAATTAGAAACTCGTGGTTAAGCATTTAGCCTTCAGAATGACACATCAAAGGAGGAGTAAAGAATCTCTGCCTAGTGACCCCCTTGACTTCAACTATGGCTATAGATCCAGGGAGGGTTTTCCAGAGAAAAAAGTCAAAAAACAGAATTCTAGCTTTTCTCTTTTGACCTGCCTGTAGATTCTGATTGGTGAACACAGAAAAGGCCATGTCCAGCAATTGGGCATAGGTGTCTCAGTTTCCATTTGAAGTTTCTCTAATTTGTTCTGAATATGTGGAGCCAACTGACAAATGAAATTATGTCCCACCAGTGTCCCTCTCTCCCTGGAAGATGGATCTGTGTTTGTATATTTACAAAAGACTTTTACTGTGCAGCTATTGGGACAGCTAGATTTTCCGTTGTCCTCTATCACCCCATTCACTATTACAATTAACAGATTTCTTGATGTACCTTTTCATTCCTATAGAAAGAGTAGCCATCATATCAGTATCATTTTCTATCCCTAACTAGTATTATTGTTTCAGTTTGGTTCTGTGTGTGTGTGTGTGTGTGTGTGTGTGTGTGTGTGTGTGTGAGAGTGTTTTGAGACAGGATCTTACTATGCAGTTCAGGGTAGCCTTGAACTCACTTTGTAGTCCAGGCTGGTCTCAAATGCTCAATGATTCTACTGCCTCAGCTTCCTGAGTGCTGGGATTACACTTATGCACCACCATGCCCACTCCAGTTTGGTTCTGTAAAAGGAACAATGGTCTCTCTAAGATGCTTTTCTTCCCTTTTTAAAGCATATTCCTGGGCTGGGGCTATAGCACGCTTGGCAAGTACAAGGTCCTGAGTTTGATTCTCCATACCAATAAACAAGCAAACAAACAAAAAACCCTTTTGCTCACTTGCATAGTTATTAGCCTCTTTTAGGATTTTTGAACTTTTATCTGGGGCACAAAAAGTGGCCAAGATGAATCTCACCATGATAAGTCAAAAGTGAGGGTTAAATGTTTAAAGCCATCTGCAGGATTACTAGGATCCTCTAATACTTGGCCTAGCCATCCTTTGTGTTGCTTTTCAATGCAACTGCATTGCAACCGAAGAGCAAACCTGAACTCTAGCAGCTCCTGGGACCTCTCTTAGGAGCAGGGTGAGTTGTGAGTTAGAGGAGTAGAATCACCACTCTGAGTACCTCCTACGGAGTCGAGAGCTGTTTGTGTGTATTTAGTGGGACTTAAGCCTGTCTGAGAAGCATGATGAGGGAGCTGAGGAATGTTGGCTTCCTCTGGGGCACCGGGCTCTAGTGGAGTTCTTGAGGCACTTGGAGGGGATGCGACTGATTTGCTGGCCTTAGGATATAAGGAGGTTGACGAGAACTCCAGAATGGTTGTCATCATTCAAAAAATAGGAAACACCCATATGCCCCGAGACACAGGTGGGAATCCAAGGACAGGATCTCTCTCTCTTCCTCAGGACCACTCTTAATACCATAGTTTCTGGGCTTTTCCTGAGATAAAAGTTCACAAAAGCATAAGGGATTTTATTCCACTATGTTTTAAGCAGAAACAATTTAACTGGAAAAGTCTTGTAGTTTAAACTTTCATCTTGTACCCACCTCTCACCATTTCCTAGTTTATATTGAATCCAAACAGTATTGCAGTAGTAGATTTAGAATTGCAAAGATACCTTTTTTCACATGGTTAGGGTCAAATCTTTCTCACTGATTAAGGACACAGCCTAGCAGTGAGGTCAGTGGAATCCTTGGGGAGTGTGGTTCATGAAGTTTCATGAAGTTTATGAAGTTTTCCATGGTGCATCTTGGGCCTAGAGAAAGAGGGATAACCAGGTCTTGGATCCTTAGTGTCCCATGCAGAAGGAGGAGACCCTATTTGAGACAGTGAAAAGTCCCTTTTGAGACTCGAGTTTTCAATAGACCAACATCTCTGAAGCTGGGATGATGCCAGCATCTTTTATAGAAGCATAGAAGAAAGCCCTACTGAGGCCTTTTTGTCTCCATTTTGAGCCACTTGATTGCTTACTTAAGCACAGTTGAGCCGTTTGAGCAGCCGTATCTCTTATATTTGCCCCATCATAAAGACTTTGGTACTTTCTTTAAGGCAATAGGCGGAACCTTTTTTTTTTTTAAAGAAAAAAAAATCTTTAAAAATCCGAAGAAAAAAAGATGGCTCTGCATTTGACTCACAGTCACTTGAGTTTAGCTTTCCTGGCTGTTCTCTCCTTCTGCTCAGGCCATCAGGCACACATCTCTAAATTACCTGCATTTGGTCAGAAGAAACAAGAAAAGGATCTAGCCTGATTCAAAATAAAACAGGGAGGATGCTCACATGTTCCTTATAATGGGAGGGTTAAGGTCTGTGAATAAGGGTGAGATTTCTGGTGACCACAAGGACAGTAGAAAACAAACATGGCAGAGCCCATGTGGATGATTCTGTGACGGACCTTACTAATGAAGAGGTGAACTAACCAGGATGAAACAACGCCCTGAGAAAGAAAAGTCCATCTAGGGGGAAAGTGTAAAGGGCATTTTGATCACAAAAAAAAGTAGGAAAAGCAGTACACCTTGTTACAAGAGGCCACCATGAAGGAGAGAACACAGTGGGTGGTGGCTTCTTCCATAGTACAATACTATAATTTTTGCTGATTGTACTGTATACTACAGCACTGTGGTTTCACTGTAATGTATTTCTGTACTGCACTGTAAGAGTTACGTAATTAGAAACAAAGTCATCAAGTTGGTATTTTGCAAAGACGTGCCTGCATTGTCTCAGTACTGATTTTTTACCAGGTTCTCTTGGGTTCCAAGCCTTTAAAATGACCTACCTCACTACTTTTACCGTTGTTTCTTTTAGGCTCGTAAAACTCTTAGTTTCCAACGGCACAGACGTGAATCTGAAGAATGGAAGTGGCAAGGACAGGTAGGAGGAGGGTGCCTAAAATGTGCCCATGTTCTTGGGTACCTTTGTGGCACAAGCCATGTGCCCAGAGGGTTTTGAATTTCCAGGACATTTTGTTTCTTTTGACAGCTCTGAGAGCTGAGTAGGTCCCAAAGGAAAGATGGTGAGGACAAAAGCTGGCCGTTCATTTATCTTTTCTTGTCTGGGGATTTGCAAGCATCAGTTACGATGTGTCTACCTTCTCCAGCTCAGTCAGTGCTGGCTATGAAAGCAGGCTCAGTGCTGGGCCCTGGGTTGTGAGTACCTGCCCTGGGCACTTCATTCCTTTCTTAGGTCATTTATTGCATTTCAGCCCACTTTTTTTTTTTTTAACAAGAATCCCAGCTGTTTATAGAGAAGCAATCGACAAGTTGCATCAACAACACAACCACAGAACTTATCTGAGGTTTCATCCATACTTGCCAAGGATAGGCAAAAAGGTTGTTTTGGTCTTTTTGAGTCAAGGTCTTGTTATGTAACTCAGGCTGGCTCAAACTTAACCTCTTGCCTCTGCCTACTCAAGTGTTAGTATTCCAGCTATACACTACTGCGCCTGGCTAGAAAGAATGTCTTCTAGAGACATAAATACTTACTGCTCTCACAATACATGTAATTAATTAATTCAGCCAGCCAGTACTTGTTAAATGATGACGAGACACCAGGTACTGTACTTGATGTTCAGGTAGAACCGGGCACAAAATGCAGACTTTCTTCTCACAAGCACATAATACACACATGTAAGTATCTTTCATGCTATATAGGAGATCAAGGAAACATCAATTAATTTCCAAAATCGGAAATCCTCTCCATTCCATTTCTCAGACATAACACAAGAACAGATTTTAAATAACAACACTAAAAGACAGATTTAAAAAGCATTTTATAAATAATTCTTAGGTTAATTTGGAATATTGACCCACGAAATTCAAAAAGCAGAGTGTCACTTTATAAAGGAAAAAGAAAAAACGTAGAGGATGTAGAAAAAGGGAAAGAAAATGAAAATGATTAATCAAAAATGAAAGATTATTTGAGAAATGTAAGAGTTGGCTCTTTACAAAAGCTTGTAGGATGAAACAGACCAATTTTTTTGTAAATCTAAGAAAAAAGAAGAAAAATTAGAAATTCAAAAGGGCACAGACATCCCAGTAGTAGTAGAGGAAATTTAATTCTGTAAAGAAACGGTACATTTGTGTCCAATAGATTTGATAATATTGAAAAGGGTACTTTTTTTGGAGAAAACTTAAAGCACTAAATACAATCTAAGAATCAGAAAATTTGAAATAACAAATATCCATGTAAGAAATTCGAAAATTTACCAAAGTACTCAAGTTCAGGCATTGTGGCTTACCTGTCCTACCAGGGAGTTTGTTCAGATTTTTGTGCACCTGTAATAACCTGGAACCTTTCCAGAACAGAGGGGAAGCTGAAAAGCTATAAATCATAACTTTATTGCTAAAATCTGATAGTAAAAAAAAAAAAGCTATTTATGTGTTTGTAGGTGCTCATAAAATTTTTCCTTCCCAATTAAAAGGGGATTAGGAGAGGATAAAGAAATTTAGTACTAGGAAATTTCTAATAAAACACTGCCAATCAGTAGATTAAAGTTGAAAATAAAAACTGGGTGCTACTGAGCCCCTTTACAAGTTAAAGTGTATATATTTTTAAAAACTAGGGATGGAAGCCAGGGCCCTTGCACTGAGCTACATCCTCAGCTGTTTTTATTTTGAGACAAGGTCTTGCTAAGTCACTAAGTCGCCCAGGCAGGGATTGAATTTATGACCCTCTTACCTCATCCTCCCAGAGTGCGGGGATTACAGGCATGTGCCCTCGTGCTTGCCACCATACAGTTTTTATTTTAAAAAGTCACCTCAGATAATTAGCTAGTGTTATTCATAGTGTGGGCAAATTTCTTTTCTAAATTAGTGAGGCTCATGAGAGAAGTCAAGAAACAGACAGGAGCCAAACTGGTGGTGCACACCTGTGCACTGGAGAGGCTGAGACAGGAGGAGCACCATGGGTTCAAGCCTAGCCTGGACTACATAGAAAGAACCTGTCTCTAAAACAAAGCAAAGCAAAGCAAAACAAAACAACACAAAAACAATAAGAACGCAGGCGGATAGGATAATGAAAGAAATACAAATCCATGAAGGTTTTAAGAAAATAAGTTATTTGAAGAAAAAAAATTAGGCAAATCTTGGCCTTAAAGCATATACCAAAATAAATTCTAGATGAAGGAAGAATTAAATGTAAAAGCTCATGAACTGCTAGAAAGCAGGGCATTATACTTATGTAATACTGTAATGTGAAAGGCATAAAAGTTAAATCACTAAGGAAAAGATGAACTGTATATCTTGTTTAAATACTGCATTGTTTATCTGGTGTGACAAACTGAAAGTATAAAAAAGGACCAAAACATAATAGATGCTGGGAAATAGGAAGAGAATGGGAACAAGGGAAGGGACAAGAAAAAAAAAAAGAATAGAAGAAAAAATTGGAAATAAAGCTTTTGTGAATAAGGAGGGAAAGAGAGGTTGAAGATAGTGAGGGGAATTGGGGATAAAAGAAGCAAGATATATTGTGTATAGGTGCAGGTTTCCCATGATGAATGTTATTATGTATATCTAAATTGTACTCATAAAAAAAAAAAACTAAGAGTATGTCACACATAAAAAAAAAAAAACTAAAGAGGCTGAAGCAGGAGGAGCTCAACTTTGAGGTCAGGCTGTAAACTTAGCTAGACCCTGTTTCAAAAAAATAATAATAGTGATAGAAATGTAGCATGGTGCAAAGCCACTGGGTTCAGTTCCCAGTACCACCCCCCCCCATAGCTCCTTCCTCTAGACTCCTTAATTACAGACTCCAGGACAATCTGGGGATTCAGGTATATGCTACAGACAAATGACTGGCACCTTGAAATTATAGAAAGACACATACACTGCAAAAAATAATCAACTTAGTAGGAAAAGAGCAATTTACATGAAAAGACAATTTATAGTAGAATCAATAAAAATAATCCAAGTGAAAAAATGGTTAGCTTTGATAGTGATTAAAAAATACTACCTGTCAAGCCGGTAATTACAAAATAAGTATTGGCGGAGTAAAAGGGACACTTTGAGATAAAGATGATAGAGATGTAAATCTTTGGAAATTTTTGGAAGGCAACTGAAAATCCACATCAGGAGAGAGTCAGAGGGCTGAGGTGGAGCTCAGCAGTGGAGCATGTGGCTGGCTCGTGGACGGCCTGGGCTCCCCAGTCTCACACGCACACACACGCACACATGCACGCATGCACCCACGTATGCTAAAGTAAGCCATGACCACTGACACAGGGACTCTGTTTTTACAAATTTACCCCTAGAAAATAATCAGGGATGCAAATAAGGCTGTATAATAAGGACATCTGCTGTAGCTTTATGTACCACTGTGAGACATTTGAAACAAATTTACAGCAGTAGTGGACTGACTTGGGATGAATATTTAGTATGTAGAAGCTTTGGCAGCATTGAAACAGAGAAGTATATGAAACAATAAGAAAATGAAAGCTATGTCAAAAAAGGGACATAGCTCAGCGGCACAGCGCTTTCCTGGCCAGCATGGAGGTCCTGCGTTACATTCCCTGTACCAAGAAAAAAAAAAAAACAAACCAAAAACCAAAACAACAACAACAACAAAACAGGGTGGGGGTGGGGGGAGGAGGGAGAAGACTTGGATGGGGCATCAGGAATACACAGGAGAAAAGCCCACCCCAGGGTCTGTGCCAAGGATTCAGGAAGGTGACTTTGATAAGGGGCCAGGTGCTGCAAGCAGGTGGCTCTGCCCCTGCACTTGGGCTTGGCTGGAGTCTCACTGGGTCTTTGTCAGGGCTGCACATCAGGGGTGGTCCTGCCACTCTCCCTCCCTATAGGGCTGGACAAGCATGACCCCCTAAAGCTGGGTTCCAGCAGACCACTGGGGGGCCTCACCCTTGAAGTGCAGGTGACACTTTGGTTGTAGAGAAGACTAAAGGCAGACTTTGTACCCTGGCACATGGGACTTTGCTGTCTTTCTGCAGATAGGAAGAAAGTGGGCTTCAGAGGCTACCCCAGTCCCTGGGAAGCAGCTGAGGTCTCAGCTCCTTGCTGGGCAGTCCAGGCTTTGGGGGCTGGTTTTCAACAACCCTTGTCTCCCAGAAGCTGGTCCAACAGGCTCAGGAGCTGGTCCTCCTCAGTGACTCTGATGCTGGAATCTTCTACCTAGCATGCGTTCCTTTTTAATCAGGAAAGAAGCATTTAAAAATAATCATCCAGATAACTAGACTGTAGAGTATTTAAATAGTAAAAAGAAATTTTCTTCCCTTGGCAAAGGCCATTGAAAGACCTGGGCTGTCAGGTCTGAGTCTGAGCCTCGAAGCTGGGCAGGCAAAGTTTGTGCTCTCTCCTGGGAGTCTCCGGGGATGGTGCTATATGGAGATGGGGTCGCCAGGCACCCTAGCTCTGCCAGGCTTTGCCTGGGTGTTGTATGCACCAGTGCTCACTCAGAGAGGCACTTGTACATTTTCCTTATTGGGAAGAGCTTCTATTTTCCAACCTTTTTTTTTTTAATTTCAAAATACCTACATTTATATATGAGACAGGGTTCCACTATGTGGCTCAGGCTGGCCTTGAATTCGTAGCAGTCCTCCAATTCAGCCTCCTGAGTGCTATAATTACAGGCATGCACCACTATGCCTGGTTCAAAAATTTCCAAATATTTAGCAAAGATAAAAGAATAATCCAAAACAAACACCTGTGTATTCACCATCTAGGCTTGGCACTTGTTGGTTATTTGATCACATTTGCTTCTCTGTCTACATTTCTGCCATCCCTCTCTTGGTTTATCTTTTCAAGGTGATGTTAGACATCACAACCCCTTAATAATTCAGTCTGTGTCTCCCGAAAACGAGGTCATTAGTCTGCATACTAATGTAGGACCACACCTTATGCCATCTATGCATGTCTTTCTACTTGCCTCATCTTTATTTAGGGACAAGGGCTGAGGCAAGATCATGAACAAGCAAGGCTTATACAGAACATTTTGTTTCTGTAGTCTTCCTTATTCTGGATTGGTCTCTGTACCTTTCCCGCTTTATCTCTCCCCCTGCCTCTGCCTCTGCCTCCACCTCCCTCTTCTTCCTGCTTCCTTCCCCTCCCTTCTTCCCTTCCTTTCCCTTCTTCCTTCCCCCTCCTCCCTCTCCTTCCCTCCCTCCCTCCCGGCTCCCTCCTTCCCTCCCTGCCCCTCTCTCTCTGCCTCTTCCTCTCTCCTTCTGCCTTTGCCTCCACCTCCCTCCTCCCTCTCTACTCACTTTCCCTCCCTCTAGGAAGCAATGGCTCTTCGAGGAGAGCAGATCATGATCTTCTAAGTGCTTTCTGCTCTGAATTGGCCTAGGGGCCTCCCAGATGAGGAAGAGGCACTTGTTCATCTTATCCTTTATTGCTAAAATGAAGTTTGGCTTAGAGGTTTAACTGGACTTTGATCAGCATTTTTAGCAAGATCACTTCTGAGCTGGTGTGGTGACCACACTATGCCCCCTGGAAGGCGTGACACTGGTCAGGTGATGACTGCCAGATCGCTTCTTTATAAAGACTCAATTTCCCCACTGGAGTTAGAAAACATAGCGTGGGCTGATAACCCAGCACTGAGTGAACTTACTCCCTACTATCCTTCTATCCAATAATTTTAATATCCATTGTTGATATTTGCCTAACTCAACTATTAAGTTGGAGTTTCAAAAAGAAGGATTTTTCTAATTTTATGATTCCTTCCAAATTATTAGTTGACAGTCACCTGTAAAAAATAAAGAGCTTCCCTTTAGCTGAGATGGACCACATTTCATTCTAGGCAAAGTACAGTAAATGTTTACTTATTTCCCTTAAATACTGAATTTAAGGTGAGTAATTAGCTTAATGTTATCTCTAATACTATATGTTAGTGTTTTGTTGTATTATTTTTTGAGTATTATCATGGATTTATGGGTGTTTTTATTTTTAATTTTTTTTTATCGATACCAGGGATCAAACTCATAACTGCCTGCTTGCAAGGCAGGCACTTATGCTGCTGAGCTAAATCCCCAGCCCTTATGGGTGTTTTAAATCTAATATTTTATATTAGTTTGTGACCCTTTATCATCAAGATATAATCCATATACCATAAAATATGGACCTTTAAAATATACAAATCAGCATGATAAATCATGTTCACAGGTTTTGCAACCACCTCCACTATCTAATTCTAGAACATTTTTATCACCCCAGAGAGATGCTGTGTATTATAAGTCACTCCTTCCCTATAGCTCCAGACAACCACCAGCCTTTAGGTCTGCTTATCGATTTTCCTACTCTGGATATTTCATGTAAACAGGAAGGGGAGATATGTGACCTTTTATGTCAGGTATCTTCTATTAGAATATTTTAAGATTTACCCTTGGTGGGGCATTTTATTTCCTTGTCATGGCCAAGTAATGCTCCATTGTGAGGATATAACATATTTTGATTATTGACTAGTTGCTGGATACCTGTATATTCCATATGAATAAAGCACGTGGCTTTTTCAGTCAAACTCAGGTTTTTTGGTTTAAGCCAGGCAGGGCAAATGTATCCAAGCACAGAGCTGCACTCACCGCTGCATGCTGCTGCTTTCCTGTGTTGCAGTCTAATGCTTGCGTGCTATGCAGGACACTTAGATGTTGTGAAATATCTCCGAAGACATGGAGCTTCTTGGGATGCTAGAGACCTGGGAGGCTGCACAGCCCTGCACTGGGCTGCAGATGGGGGCCACTGCCCTGTGATCGACTGGATGATAAAGGACGGCTGTGAGGTAGGAGTCTGTCTTGTTAACCACACAAGTACTGCTAAGATCCTGAAAGGCTGTTCTGCAGGCTCAATGAGAAGCCAGGTGTTTAAGAGGTGGAACTTAGAAATGCTGGAGAAAAATCTCTGGCTTGTCATGAAGAAAGCCCCTGTGGGTCCTGGAGCAAAGGGTCCTTGTGCATTCTATATGATAATGAGGCTCAGTTTGTCATGGAGGTTGGAGCTAGGTAGAAAAAAGAAATATGGCCACACTCAGAGCTGGACGTGAAGCTATTACTTTGCTTATCCCTTTGTTCATAACTTACTCATTTCTTTGTTTAATCTATTACGAAGCTTCCTCGAGCATCGACCATGTGCCAGATATTGAGTGCTAGAGACACAAAGATGTTAAGGACTTGTGTAGCTACAGTGTTTATTCTTGATTTTAAAATTAGGTTATTTTTATTGTTGGTTTGCTTTAAAGATTAGTCATTACAAAAGTTTTACAAAGGATAAACTGACTGTATGAAGCATGGACCATTTCCACTCTTGCTGTGTTTACCCTGAAGCAGGAGCAGGCATGTTGGTTCTCTTTGATTTCCATGTCATCAGAAGACAGATCTGACAGCAAATAGAAGTAGAGTTGCTTGGATTTTTGTAGATGTTTAAAGATGGATCATTACAATCAGGTAAATTATGATAACTTCTGATAACTCTGAATATTCATTAATCTCTTTCGAGTCTTGGACTAAACATTTCAAGTCATAGGAATAAAGAGCAATTGGTAAAATACTATCCTGTGATTGTTGGATGGTGAAGAATATGGAGGAATTAAACTGATGCCCTGAAAAATCAACTGAAATTGAAGAAAGTCCATCTATCCCAGAAGACTGGTAGATTTGTTCTAGTTTGTCACTGAAGTGTGATTGAGGGAAAGCGAGGCTTAAATTGTGGGAATGCACTGGCTCCTGCTCCTGCCACTGCTCTTGGATAGCTGGAAAAGGACTTCAGGAAGGAAGAATCTTGGTCATTATGATAATTCTTTTCTATAGCATCTCTTGTCTTCTTGTGCTTTAGAACCACACCCAAGAGGTTGGAAGGCTTAGCCATGGGCCTCTATGGGACAGTGTTATGTATGGTAGCAACAGCCACATCCTCTTGTTTGGTTTATGATGAGCTGGACTCATGCTTCGGATTCAGTACAGTTATGGTTGAGAAGAGACTGATCTTTGCTGAAAGAGGAATGGGACCCAGCATAAGGCAGGTCTCTGTCACAAACACTGAAATACTGGAATATTGGAAATGCAGGCTATCTGGGCTTCAGACTTGAAGGCAATTATTTGGTGTAAATTTCATCTTTCTCTGAAGTACAAGAGCCACTTTGCAGAGGACAGCACTAGAACCTAGAGGCAACTGCTAGTGGTGGGCAGAGGCTGTCAACTAGCATCTATGTTCTCGGCAGATGCTCCCTTGATGCTTCTGAAGACTGGGAAGGCGTTAGGTGCCAAAGAGGCACTGCTACCATATTCCCAAATGTAATGCCTTTATATTTAGGGTGACTTATTTACTTGATCAAGGGAACTATTTCTACATTTAATGAGCCATGTGGTCTTAGGAAACATACTTGGTTTCTTTGAAATGGAGTTCAATTATTTCTAAATCAGGAATGAAAACACCTGCTCCTGTCAAACCTTCTAGACCAAAAGGGAAAGTGTATATTAAAGTATGTTTGAAACTGTATAAAGCATTTTGTAATATCAGATGATTGTTGTTATTATTCAAATGTAATGGAGCTTATTGCCCACAGGTTGTTTATTGGCCCAAAGGAGGGTGCTATAGCATTGGATGTTCTTATATGTGTAAACAACCTAACAGTCTGTTATTAAGTTATAGATCATCTGTAATTTTTCTGTAACAGAATGTCTATGTATGCATGTCCCTGCATTCTCTCCCTCTGTCTCTCTCTCACACACATATCTATTTCAGTACCACTTTATAGATTGACTAGGTTTTCACTGGAAGAGACAGTATTTACCTCTTCTTATTTTATAATATTTCTCTTAAAATACTAAATTGAGAATTCAGTACAAAGCAGGTCACTGGGGAATGACCATCTTATTACCAAGTGTATTCTACTTTAGGGAAGGGTTAGGATTAGGCTTAGGAAACTTTTCAGATCAGGTTTGGGTAATGGATCTAGTCGCTTTGTATTTGTTCTCAGTCTCCTGCCTAAAATTAACCAATATTAAGCTTAGTGGTATGAGTGTATGTATTACTAACTGATTCTAGAAAGGATTTAAAGTGCTTATAAATTATACATAAAGATAAGCCAAACTGGTGCTACTTTAAAAAAAAAAAAAACAGGTGAGGATAGTTAAGCAAGAGAACCTAAAATAATTCACAAGGGACCAAGGGAAGTTCTGTTGACTTTATTCTAGAGTCTCTTTTTCCCATTTTAAACCGTAGAGATGAAAATGCCACCAGGGTCAGGGCTTCTTGAAACCACTCTGTAGTGAGTGTCAGGGGTTTTCTCACCACACACGGCTGTGAGTTAATCTAACAGCCCAATCAATCGATATGCACTGAGTCTAGAAGGGCTGCTAATCAGTGTGGAGTCCAGTAAATAGGCACGTGTCAGTCTATGATGTATGATCTTCAGGGGAAGCGGACTGACTGAGACAGCTCTTTGTCTGGACTGCAGGTAGATGTCGTGGACGCCTGTTCAGGGTGGACCCCACTCATGCGAGTCTCCGCAGTTTCAGGAAGCCAGAAGGTGGCCTCGCTCCTCATTGAGGCTGGGGCCAATGTGAATGTGAAGGACAAAGATGGAAAGACGCCTCTCATGGTATGGCTTTCTGCCAGAGGTCAGGGCTTTTCCACCTTTAGACATTCTCTTGAGACTCTAGTCTCTTAGGCAGGAGCTCTGGCTTTTGGCTGCGTATGTGTTCCCTATCAGCCTGTTAATAAAGGCATGAGCATGTCACTAGTTTTATCTGTTTTGGGACAGGGTCTTGTTATGTTGTGCAGGCTGGCTTTGAATCCCTGGACTCAAGTTTTTCTCTGCCTCAGCCGCCCCAGTAGTTGGGACAATAGGCCTACATTACTATATGAGCACTATTACATTTTTGTTGTCTTTTAAAATTTCTTTAATGATTAGCACCCTCAGTCCCTAAAACAGATTTGTTAAAACCATCTGTGGTGGTCTGGACTGGCCTCTTTCATGTTGCTTCGGTATGGAATGAGGGAGATGACATTTACCTTCTGGTTTCTACCACCATAGAATTAGCAGGGCACAGGCCTGTCATGCAGAGGCTTGGTTTAAGCCTGGCCAGGTCTGCCCTTGCGTGGTGCTGCTGGTGGACTCCCTGTGTCTAGAATGTGCCAGGTGCACCCTCTCTGCTGCCTGGGTGCCTTTGGGGTAGGGGAAGGGGCAGGACAGCTCACGTGGCACTGTTGTGTCTTTCAGGTGGCTGTGCTGAATAACCATGAACAGTTAGTGGAATTACTACTTGATAAAGGGGCAGATGCAAGCATAAAAAATGAGGTAAAGTTAATCCTCATACTAATTTTCTTGGAGGAGAAGAAAGAAATATAATTTTATAATGCATAATTATAATTTTTGTTGTTTCCTCTTTCAGTTTGGCAAAGGTGTCCTAGAAATGGCCAGAGTTTTTGACAGACAGGTGGGAATGTGCTTTCTGCCTAACAAGGTTATTTGTAGTGTCTTTCGATTCCCAAAACACCCCATCAAAACCTTGGAGGACATTCACCTGCTTGTTTTGTTTTTCTAGAATGTGCTCTCCTTGTTAGAAGAAAGGAAAAAGAAGCAGCTGCCCCAGAAGTCTTCTGTCCACTGATCAGAGCACCACCTGTCTGCAAAATCCAAGCAAAGCAGAGCAAAACATGACTGTTGAACACAGATATAAGAAATCCCATGTCTTTGAAGGTTACTCATTTATTTATTTAGTTGGAGATTCACAGTGACTTTTTTGTAACAGACAACTGTTCCCACATAGAAATACATCTTTTTACCTAAGTGCACATGTATATGTGCTTGCCTCGTTGAGCGTCTATAGAACAGGGATGTTTTCTTGCACTTGTGCCTTTACAGTTAGAGATGAAACCAAATATTAATGCACCAGAGCTACACAAACATGCATGGGTCTCCCACTCCTGGCTCTTGCCCCCAGCTGTCCTCGGGGCCACTCCAGGCTGTTGGCATTCTTTCCTCCATGTGCTTCCTATTATCCTTCCTCCCCCACCTGAAGGCCTTCCAGGCCGTGCTGTCAGGCTGCTGTGGCCTCCCGCAGTGGTGCTCCCCCTAAAAGCCCAGGAGTTTTCTCTTCAGCTCTTGGCTTCACATCAAAGCTCAAATACATATCTCAAGTCTCTAGTCATGGTCTGCTAGCAGTGTCTGGTTGGGGGTCAGTCTTCCTAGAACAGCCCTGTCCATCCATGTGTTTGCATGTACTCATGCCCTGACAATGAAAGATCCAGTCTGCTGGCGGCTTGATGACCTCACCATACAGCGTTCAATGCTGTCTTCAGACAGAGCGGAAAAATTTTGGAAGCTGATCATGCAATTCGTAGACAAGTAGGGGTTAACCACAACCATGTCTGCTGGTTGGGGCCTTAAAAAGATACAAATGTGGTAGAACTTTAACTTGGGAAACACACTTAAAAGGCAACAAAGACGTTAGCTAGCAGACCACATGCATTTTGTGTCTCGCTGGTTAACCTGGCTTGTGAATAAAGCAGCTACAAAAAAAAATGCATCATGTGAGTGGAATTTTCTCAGTAGGGAAAGGCTAATTAAAAGGCAATTAAAGCTCCAAAACTTAGGGGAGCATCCAGAGAAAACAATCAATTTTATTGATATTAGTAACCTTTAGCTTTATTTCATATAGACTACTCACCCTAAGAATTAGGTCTGTGAGCCAGATATATATCCTGTTCATAAAGATTTCACTAGTGCTATACCTTTTGTACAATGTACCCCTCTTTATAATTTGCTAGATTTTTAAAACCTAAAAATGAGAGCATATAAAAAACTCTGCAAAGGCTCCTCATCCTTTTGTGATTGGTATTATCATTCACCTCAATTTTATGTCTCAGTCTTTGTATAGTATGTCCCTTACCCGCTTCTGTGGTGGAGTACATATCCCATTCTCTTATTATTATTATATAATCTTTTATTTTTAAAAAGTTTCTTTTCACAGGATACATTTTCTTATTAGAAATTCTCCCACAGTAGGAAAATAATATGTCATATAGAGTTTTATACTTATGCATAGATAATTTTAGGACACACTTGAGAATTCTGTTGGGAATCTGTAATATTGCAGTACAGCTGCAAGGAAGACCTCTTCCCCAAATGGATCTCTAAATTCAGAGATTCTTCATGCTTTCTTTCCTAGGATTTAGATATCTGTAATGTCAGCTATCAGCATCTCTTGATTTTAGTTTTTCTAGGATATACAATAATCATCATTTGCTGTTACCAACTGAACAGACAAGAGACGTTTCTGAAAATGAAATGCTAATTTTCCACAACCTTTACTCATGAATTAACAATCTTTCACTTTTTCTGTTGTTCCCAGAAAAAGTGCAAAATCCTGATCATGTATTGATTGTAATAAAACTAAGTTTTCTTTAAGAGACTGATAAAAATGCAAAGCAAAAACTCATAAGTAACTTTGGTTATACTGAGTTTTGTGAGCTGAGAGAAAATCCTATTAACTCACCAAAATTATAGAACTTGGTCTCACTATTTCTTGGATGCAATTTTTCTCAAACTTTTTCCTCAGAATTAAATTCTGAAAATAGCCATGTGATAAGGAGGTTTGTCCACCGATGGACTTATCTGTTATTTCTTCCTTATTGTGAGCTGAATATAATGACAGAGCAGAGGCAAAGAAGCATACATTCAGTTCTTAAGGCATTAAGTCAAAAAGAGCAGAGCTTTCATAGCGTGGCCACAGCTTTGCATATGCCCACACTATTATAGTTGAAATAACAAAGCCCAGCAAAGGTCTTGGCCCGAGAGTACCAAAAGGCTGCTTTAGCAGCTCTGCATGCGTTCCCACGAGCACAGTAACATGTCCAAGGCCCCTGTAAAGAGTCAGGGCTGTAGCCAGGGAGTAGTCCATTGCAGAGCAAGGATTCAAATATGTCACTGGAAGTAGGCACAGGAGCAAAATGCTGACAACTTGTTCATTAGCCAGAGGAGAGATGCAACCTTGGAATCAGAATGATGGCTTGGTGATTGGTGAATATTCTGCGTTCCAAACTACCCTGGGGCAAGTCAATCTTGTAAAAATGTTGCAACAGGAACAGGATTGAACACTGGAGTTCAAACGAACAGAGCTTGGCTTCCTTGGGCACTGCAGAAGACACTCAACCTCAAGACAATGGCCATCTTGCTTTTGAAGGCTCAAGGTCATCTGCCAACTCAGCAGTGACCCACATTCTTTATTGCTCTCATCAGGTCTGGTAATATTGTCCTCCCTCTGGACTTATTATTGAACTATCCTTACATTCCTGAGATATTCTCCTTGGGGTATGGTAAATTGCTGTATTCTATATGCTTATGTCTTGGGTCTCCAGTTTTACTGTTTCTCTATGCTGAAGACTAGGAAGTGGTTTAATTTTGTTTCAGTTTTCTCTAAGAGCAACAACTCATGGTTTTATTTGTTCTGTTTTCTAATTATACTTTTTATCTGTACAAATTAATTTCTTCTATTTTTCCATTGGTTTATCTTGCTGTTCCTTTTATAACTTTTTGTTGATATTATTAAATGTACTGTTTTGTTTAGTAATAGATGTGCTTAGGATTATGCATTTTCTTTTCAGCAGCTTAGTTGTATTACCACGAGCTTTTTCCCCAAGCCTTTCAGGTCTAAAGATCCAACTGGGGCACTTGCTAAATACAGATTTTTTGGGCTCATAACTGAATGGGAATGTCCAGGAAAAAGGTGTGGCAATGGATTTTAATAGGTAAGTTCTTATAATTCAAGGAATTTTGAGAAGTACAATCATAGTGCTATTTGCAGTGCTGTTAACTGCTGTTTTCTAGATAATTTGTAATTCATCTTTGACTACAGAATCATTAGGTTTCTAGAACACAGAATTGTTTTCTATAAAAGTTTCTCCCTCTCCCCCTTTCCCCTCTCCCCTTTCCCTTTTCCCTTTCAAAGGCACTTTGAAAGAAGTTCTGTATGTCTGGGGTGTCCCATTTGATATGCGTCAACTTCATCTACCTTAGTAGCTATTTGAAATTAGCTCTATACTATTTGCCTACTTGCTTTGTCACAAGTGAAAAATGGTAAATATAAAGACCTCTTTATTCTTGTTACCATTTTGAATATATATGAGTATATATGAATGTATATGTATATATGACTATGTGTGTATATTTTTATTTCCTACAGCTTCTTTATGAAGTTGGGTGCTATTTCTTAAAAATTCAAAAATATAAAAATACTAAAAATAATTATTACCTTTAGATTTTTAGTTCCTATTCATCTGCTGTCACTGTTATTGCTTACTTTTTGAACTGTCTCCTACACAAATAAGGTGAATTTAAACATTTTTGATAGACAATGAATTTATGTTGCTCAAAAAAATATCAAGTGTCCCTGACACACCAATGGTACATGTGAACAGGTGTTTTCTTCCCCACTGTGTCCCCTCCCTGGGTAGCCCTTGAGAACTGGCGGTATGTATGTTGCTCGTTGCCTCCTCCCAATTCTCAATGTCTTGTGCTCTGAAATTTTCTTATACATTTATAAATTAATGGGAATATGCATTTTTTGCATGAACCTTTAGTCTCCATTTTTGTAATGTTTTCAGTAACAAATAAGACACTATAATTACCTCTTTACCATTTATTGGGTATAATATTCTTAACAATGTCTTTTTCTACTGAAATAGCAGGTTGTATTTTCCTGTAGATCCCTAATATGAGAAATGTGTACAAAAGCAACAGAATGTAACATAAAAAGTTATGTGAAAAAATTAGCAAACCAAAAGCATTATAAATGGAGGAAGCACTACAAAATGACTGTGCTGGTTTATGTAGCGGTAACTTCAATCTGTACTGTGCTAAACAGCCTGTAACCAAGTTAAAGAGCTGCACTGACAGCTGCCACCCACATTCAGACATCAGGCTGCCCGACCACCTACCACTTTGATTTGACGGAAGGAGGTAAGGGAACTATTAGTTCTGCTTCTACTTTTCCTAAAAGTCTTGGCCCTCTATTGCTTAGAGAGTTTTTGCCTTTCTCATTTGTTTTTGCTATCACTGCTCTATGAAGGCACCTACTGATTATAGGCCACGAACATAAAATAGTATTCAACTTTTTTGTAAAACTAAAATGATTATATTATTCTTTTGTCTGAATTTAAATGTGCTAAGTTAAGGATTAAAACACTATGTTTCCAGGAGAGTTATGAAGGATATAGAGCATGATTTTTGAAGATAATGTGGGAAATCAGGGTAGATTAGAAAGCATTCAACCTAAAGAAGCTGAGTCACTTTAAATCAAGAATTCTTTTGACTGTTCAATTTTCTGACTACCACTATCCACTACTATTTTAACAATTTCATATATTTCTTTTTTTAAAATATGAAACAAGATTGTAATGGTTGAATTATAAACGGCCACTACAGTCCCAAAAGTAAAGGGGGTATCTTTTCTGCAACAGTCAGGGAAATGGTACTTTCCTTTGTGAATAGAAGAATCCAGGAATTATCCTCTTCTACAGACATGGTTCTGTGAATGGGACTTGCAAATCTTTCTCAGAAGGCTGTTATTGATCAGAGTTTTCACACAATTTTAAAAGCAGTAGATATCAACAGGAACTTAAGAGTAAGTCAGGAGAATTTTGCAGTCCTAGCTAAGTTGGTTTTTCTATGGTTAACTTCCCTAAGAACAAAGTATTAGATGGGAGGTCACTGTGGTCACTATGCCTGTGGAAGAGACTTGGGGAATTCAAGGCTGGTGAGTGCTGGAAAGGTGGCCCTAGAGAAGGTGGGCTTTGGGTATCCAGTAGGTGAACCTGCAGAATAGCCACACAGTGTAGTAGTCACTATGTCAGCCAACTTGAAGTACTGAGAACAGTAATTAAGAGATTTGATTGTTGGAGACTGGAGTGGCATCAGCATGGGGTTTAGCTTTGTAAGGCACTAGTGTCTGGTGACCAGGAAAGGTAAAGGGCCGTATTTGCCTCTGGCTCTCTGTGTCCAGGCATGTGTATGAGCCTGCTGATACATCATGGGGAGTAGCTATGGCAGCCCTGCGCTGACTTCCAGTATGGGTGGAGATGAGAAAAGATGGTACCTGCAATGACTCCCATTGGCCAGTTGCTGTGTACGAAACTCCTAGCCTGACAATCATATCTCTGGGTTAGTGCTGATTTTGGGAGACTTTCAGGAGGGTTGTTGTCACTTTAATTTGGGTCACTAGTATATGACTGGGACCATTTTGAAAGCAGTAAGTATCTGTAAACTGAATCTGCCCTGGGCTTTCTCCAAGACATCTAGGGCAGTCATACCTAGCAAAGCTTTAAGATGAAATGAGTCTCGTGGGAAAGACTGAAAGGTCAGAGTGTATTAGGAAGATCTGGCCCAGCTGCCCAGGCATTGTGCTCTCTCAGTTGTCAGGGACTTGTTGGCTCAGAGTGCTTAGTAAACATCAGTTGAGAGGTGGCAGGAGGATATGCAGGCATTCTAGTCAGCCCAGTGTCAGGCTCTCTTTTTTTTTTTTTAGCACCATTGATCCTAGGTCCTAAGAGTATTCTGATGTGGATCAGAGTTTTAGCAGTTTTAGGGGATGCATTGATGTGTTGTATTGATTTTTCAGAGAACAATGACCTAAATTTCAGTCTGAGAATTCTTCATAAAGAAGGCATAAAAATGTTCCCTTGGAGACTAGTTCAGGAGTATTTATTCTCATATAGCTTATTTTCTTGCTGTTGTGTTTTTTGTGATGTCATCCTACATGTGAAAGCTGGAAAATTCACACTGGGTAGTGTAACTCCTGCATGCATATTTCAACAATGGAAAATGTTATGCCTTGTTTCTCTTGGTTGCTACACATCTGATCCCATGTGTCAGGAAAACAAACCGTTAAAAACATTTCATGAGATATACTTTTAATGGGATTACATTTCATGCCTGAAAGATTAGCCATATACTTCCCTATAAAGTGGGGTCCCTTAACCTACAATTAATCCTAGATGTACAAAGGGAAATGAGTAATCTCCAGGCCTCCTTTGTGTATTAGGCACTGAGCTTTCTCAGCGATGGACTTACAAAAATTAAATCAACTCAATTATTCATATCTACAAAATTTTTTAGAAATATGAAAGAATAGATCACCAATTGAAATATAAATCTTAATTTTTGTTTCCAACATTAATGAATCTGTAAAAAAGGAGAAAAGTACCCTCCTCCCAAAAATGACTACCACCCTAGTTACTGGTTCCTAAGTTACATTAAAATGGAAGTTATTGCTATATATGCTTATTTGATAAATATTGCTTCTTGGAAGTACTCCTTTAATATCTGTGTGTTATAAGGGAATATTAGGTTTAAATATGTTCTTATTCAGAAATAAACTGCATGGCTCTATAAAAGCTATTAAGTATTTTAGAGATAAGAATATGTCACCAGCCACAGCCCCTAAGTGGCCATTGATGACATGAAATAGGATCACAGTTTTAACCTCCTTTAAGATCAAACTTTTCCTGGTTCTTTAAAAGCACAGGACTTATGGTTAAGCAGAAACAAAAATAAAGTCCATTCATTTCCTTCCTGTACTCAAAATACAAGGGGCTAAGATGTCAGATCTAAGGATTTGGGCATCTAGAAAGACAATACCCACATAATGCACCATAAAAAACTGTAAACTTTTTCAATATTATATGTTTTGGCCTTAATACAATTGCCAAATGTAAAATCAGTTACAGTAATTCTGTATGTATCTCATCAGCAGTAATATCATCTACCATGGCTTTACATTTTTACGAAGATAATTATATAATAAACAGATGCATGCTATAAGAATTGGAATGTATTAGAGCTGTGTTCCCTTTTGTGTGTTTGTACATGGATTTATTTCTCCACAGTTATGAATACTACGTTGCCTGGATACAGTGGGGAACGTGGACAAAGTTAAATGCACTTTTGTTTTTTGAAAGGCAAACCAAGATTCTTGGTATGTATTTTTCTTTCTGCTTCCAGGCATAGGAAAATCATTGAAATGACTCTTAAAGTTTTATCATAAAACACTCAGTGAATTATAAAACTATTGTCAATTGTGAAAACTAGTCATACATGACTTCCCCAAGAGACAGGGAGAGGCAAGCTGGCATTTTGCATTATGTGAGCATTTTTATACTTTTCATGCCATTGGATTCAGGCATCTTAAAGATCTTCTTGTGGAAATGGCTCCTACTCAGATACTGGCAGAAGAAAATGTGAAAGCAGCCACTTGCCCAATCCCGCTTTGCATGAATATGTAAGATCAGGAAATTGATTTCCATTTCACAATCTGTGATGCTCAACAGGTAGGCTGTAAGTGTTAAGGCTTCACACTATGTTAGAAACATCTTTAGCTGAGAAAATGTACTACAGAGAATTAAAGTGTTCTTTGTTCAATGTATACTGGTAAGTAGTGTAGCCATAGGCTGTACCATAAGAATAGCATTTCATTTTGTTGTAGTTTTTGCAAGCATAGGGATTCTCGTTTTTAATAAGTCGAACCTTTCAGTAGAAGGAGATTTTTATCTAAAGAACTGATGGGCTAGATCTGGTTACTACTTTACATCTGAAAATAATTATGGTCTCAGGGAAAGCCTCATCTGTCTGTCTGAACACAAGGTCATTGTATTACAGTTCAGAAGATAATGTGGTAATTTGCTTAGCTCCAAACAGTACAGGGAGATGGAGGTTTGCAGTGGCTTCCTTGTGGAAACATCACCATTCCCAGTCTAAATAATGTGCTGATGCCAGCTCTCTGTGAAGGGCAGCCAGAAAAAGAAGTTCTTAATGTTTCTATGTAGCAAAACCGTGAGCAAAGCTACAGATCTCTTCTTTGTCTGCTGTCCAAATGTGCTCATGGCTGGTCAGCTCCAGGTCAAGTTTCTGCCTGGCCTGGCATTCCAGTCTCTAACTTGGGGGGGCCACACCTCAAAGTTCCTGTCTGCAACCCAGGTTCTCTCCAAAGTATCCTGGCCAGAAACCAGATCCTTCTCTTTCGTCCTGGGGGCATGTCAGCTTGCCAGGGCCCAGGACCTCCCTGAAGGCCAGGCACAGCCTTGACTTGCAGCCCTCAGCTTTGGCCCACACTAGAAATTCCACAAAATCACTTGAGGTTTTACCTGGGCTCTCTTGAGCTGTGTCAGGTACTTTAACCACAGCTGAGGGCAGCTGGGTGACTGTTTCCCAATAAAGCCTTGATCAGAAAGTAAACATCTTGTCCAGAATCCCATTAAGCAGGATATTTCAAGTTCACTAAAATATTAAAAGCACAAGCCTTCCTTCCATGGAAAACTCAGTGATGGTAAAAATGCCTACCACAGCGCACTGCACTGTAATAAACATTCTGCATAAATAATAATTTACAAGTTCCTGAGCAAGTATACAGAGCACCATAGCACAGCACAGCACCGACGGCAGTAGCTCAAAGTTCTTGGAATAATGGTTTTTTAAAATTTAAAAAGTTCTAAAAGTTGGTACAAAAAAATCACTCCAACTGGAGTTGAAAGATAGTGCAAACTTCTGTCTTCACTGTTGAAAAAAAGGCGTCCACTTGCTTCTCACTTAATGTAGGCGGTGTGCATGGATCTGGGCACTTGGTGTGGATACTTTGGAGCAGGTCTGAAGTAAGAGAAATCAAAAGAAGAGAAAACAAAATTGTATTTAGAGTTCCTGAGAGTTACTCCTGTAGATATTAAAACCCTGGGTGGCATAAGTCGTTTTCCTGTAATCTGTTAGGTCGAATCTGACTGGAAACCACTCTTATTTTTGGCAGGGATTGCAAATGATATCAAAGACCTTGCTCGGAATTCCCAGTAGTTTACAACAGATGGTTGATCATCAGAGAAGGCCTCTCCAAAGCTGTTTCTCCCATCTACAAGCTGACTGTAGAAAGGCACTGTCCAACAGAAAAAAAAGATGTGAGCTACTTAGGTAATTTTAAGTTTTCCAGTAGCCATTTGAAAAAGTGAGAAATAGAGTAAATTAATTTTAGTAATGAATTTCATTTAACCCAATAAACCTAGAGCCTCAACATGTCATTAGTATAAAATGATTAGAAGGACTGGCATTTTGGAGTAGTAAGTCTTCAAAATCCAATGTGTATTTACATTGATAGTAGACTTTTTTTTTTAAAACCATTGGTTACTGGATAGCAGAGCAGTTGATAACCAGAGCAAAGCAGGATATATGTGACACTTCAAATTACTAGGGTGGAGTAGAAGTAAGGTAGGTCACTGCTTGAGGGCATTTTAAAAAAGGAGCCATTCTTTCAAACATGCTCATGTAAAGTAGTGTTTCCCCCTCCAAATAGAGAGAGGAGGGAGAGAGGAGAGAAGCAACTCTAAAATCAACATGCAAGCCACAGTGAAATTATTAGGATATTATGCAATTTTTTCTGTATTTCTGCAGTTGGGAATTAAACCATTGGACTGACCCTTTGACTGCCTTTATCTCTGAGATTTATTAGGCAGCTATTTCTTTCACAGGCCAAGCATTCTTCCCAGGGGCTGTAATCACTAGCGTGTGTCTTCCCTCTCAGAAATATGAATTACTGTGCACAGAGCCTGGCTAATAGTTGGTACCTTTGGTTTCTTTGAGCACATAAAGTGAGCATTCTGCCTAGGGGGCATAAGAGTCAGGAAAGAGTTTTGGCTGTGGGTTTCACAGCCTTCTGGGGGGGAGGAGGGACTGACTGGTCTCATTTGTCAGTTTTCATGGTATAAATACTCCTACAGAGGGTGATTCCAAGATACCACCAGTATGTCCCCAAACACGGAAGTGATGTAAGTGGTACCAAGATACTGAACTCATCACAAGGATAATAGATATCTGCAAACTCAATGTCACAAATAATTATAGCAAAAGGTAGTCAACAACAACAACAAAAAACCAGAAGTGATATTTGAGCTTTATTATCTTAGTTTTTTATGTAACTTAAATTCATCTTCAATTTTTAATATATTTAGCTAGATTTAACACCTTGTTTGCAAAATTTCTGGAGGTTTAATATCACTCATCAACCACTGTGAACCACCAGTTCCAGCATGGCGGACTTCCCTGCATAAGTGGGATTTGGGCTGTCCTCCTACCCCATGGGAAGATGTGTAGATGAGCCAGCAGGAGCAAGCCTTTAAGGGAAATTTTATTGCATAGAGAAGCCCCCAATCTGCTACGAGCAGCAGCTTCTGCCTTGCCTCTCATTTCCCTCCTGTTTCATCTTTGACCCACAAACCTGGCCTATAGTCTTAGGACCCCAGGGTCTGGGGAGACATGGTCTTGGTGACAGTTTTGGAAGTGAATATCTAGCCTTCACGCTGTTTTTCTTTTTAGTGCCTTTGTGAGACAAAGCCAGGGCCCTATTAGTAGCTATAGCTTTTCCTGGGTATGTCACCTAGTTCTACCTCATCTTAGCCAATTGCTTAGGCATGATGGCCCTTGCTGAGAGCTAGGTGGTAATACCTGCAGTTGTATCTCATGTCACTGATTCTGGCTGTATTTATATCTATTTCTTGTTGTTCCCACTCATGAGAACATGAGATGTTGTCTAGGCATGCCCCCCCTCCGCCAAGCCACTAGAGAGAGGAGACCCACCTAATGGGTGCCAGGCGAAACCCAGGCTCCTGCTGTCCCGGTGTCTTCACTGCAGCATTAGAGAGCCGAGTCGTCCTGTTCAAAGGATTGGCAGGCAAAGGCTTCTGAGGAGGGTTTGGTTTATGAATTCCCTGAAACAAACATAAAATTCTGCATGATTCCTTAGCTTTGTGACCAGGCATCAACACTGGGAGCCATCAGAGTTCCTGAAAAGCAGGATTTGAAGATTGGTAAGTTGCTTCCTAATACAGGCTCATTTCCTGATAATCACCCTATCCCTGTATGAGTTGAGGTGGAAGTGTGACTTGTTAACCTTATTGCCTAAATTTTCCCTTAACATTTAAAGATTTATTCATGATGCTTATAAAACAATCATGAATCTTCCATGGTGTTCCTGGGCACTGGAAGATATAGTTGGTGTTGGGGTTTGGTGCTAATGTCACCTATGGAATGTAAATTTTTCTCTGTGTTAGGTAACTTTTTAATTTATAAAGACCTAAAATGAGAAGCCAGTGAAATATTTTAAGCATTACACTGATTTCTCCATTTCTCTGTTATCATGTGACAGAACTGGCTCAGCTGTGCATGGAATGGTGAATGTAGATGGTCAGTGTTCCAAATTTTGGTCTAGATCATTTGGCATGATCCCCTGAAGTTCTTTCACCTGAACTATAATTAGTTCAAAGAATTGATCCAGTAGTTTGAGGGACAAGTTAAGCCTTTAGAAACCAGGGGAAGGTGTGCCATTGGCCAGGAGGTAGGGAGGATTTCAGCCAGAGAAGATGGAAGGGCATGAATTGAGGGTGAGTCTAGGCTGGGTTTTATCACTGTCTTGGGACTTACCAAGTCACTTGATCTCTCCGAATTTCAATTTTTTTCTGGGGAATGCAGGAAAACAAGACCTATCTCATAGTATTATTAGGAAGATTAAGTGAAATAATATATGGGAGGTTTACAGCACATGGGGGAATGCTGATATTACTGATAATTACTATCTATTTTTAATACAAATAGAAAGCAACAGAAATAGTACAGCTGTAAATTCATAAGGCACTTCTAAGGGGCTTCTCCCTTGGCTGCCTATGAAGGAGAGCAAGTCAGTAAGTATGTGACCCAGTTGTCTTCTGGGTCCCAGGGCAAGTCTGGGTGCCAAGCCACCTTCTGCTCTGGGTTTGGAAGTCTAGAAGACTCATAGAGGTACAGCTCTATAGTAATTGGTGCTGTAACCTCTAGAAAGACATAATGTCCCAGTAATTAAATGATGTAATGCAATGCCATAGCCCAGCACATAACAGGGCATGCCTGTGGTCTCAGCTACCCAAGAAACTGAGACAAGAGAATCACTTGCACCCAGGAATTCATGACCAACCATGGGTAGTAGAGGTGAGACTGTATCTCAAAAGGCAACCAAAAAAAATCACATCACCACAGGACTCAGTATTCCATATGTCCAGAAACAATCAAAAATGATTTTAAAACATTTGAGTTGGGTTCCTAAGTTCTTATCACAGGAGCTCAGTCAAAAGACCATAGAAACAGAATTGCCACCTAACTTAGTTCTGCAAAACATAGGAATCACCATGGAAGTCTATAAACCACAGCTGTGTGGGAAATGGACCAAGTAACAGTAGATAGACTGAGTTAGGAAAGAAGCCCTGAACAAGAGACAGACTTTCAAGTGACATTTCTATATTAAAGGAAATACTAACAGAGTGTAGATTACAGAATAAATTCCTCAATGAGGAACAAAGACCATATAATGTGCTAAAGCTCATGGGTTGTGTTTTCAAGCTCCTGAGCATAAGGAGATGAAGTTGGCTCTTTCCTTAGGAGTTGACCAAGGATTGAGACAGTGACACTCTCAGCAGAGGTCCTGCCACATCGTCACCAAATGTGTGAGTGTCACCCACTGTCACCCACTAACTATAACTATAATGGACTGAGTGAATTTGCCTTCCACAAGCACTCTCACCCTTTCAACAATCTTTGGGTAATAAACTAAGGTAACAAATCAAGCTTCATTTCCTATAACAGAAAAGCACGGCGAGATATCAGCGTGTAATGTAAAAATGAATGTATATACTCATAAAATTGAAAGACTTTGGGGATTAAATAATTCATTACTAAGTGATACCAGTTTTGCTGCTAAGTATGACTAAGTACCTAGTCTTGGCAATAAAGATAATGTCAGGTTTTCATTGCAACATTAGAGAAAAAATGAGGTATATATTACAGTCTAGGGCAATCTATTTGGATTTATCATGGAAACCGAGAGGATAATTAGGCTGGCAATTCATTCTAGTTTCCCTGGGATAGCCCAATTTTTATATATATATATATATATATATATATATATATATATGGTCCTGTTTAATTATTAATCACATTCTATGATGTGTCTGCTTTATAGGACAAACAATTTGGTCGCTATAGTGATAAAAACCCAAACAGCTGAAATGCTGACTGAGAGCTCAGACTTTAAACCTGGGGACAGCACATTCTCTCTCACCAAGGGCAGGACATGGCTTGGATGGAAACAAGTCTCGTGAAAACATTGTTCCTAGGTAAGATGCTGGCTTCCTGCCCAGCTTTATGAGATAAGACATGAACAGCAGGGCTGGTCCAGGAAGATGTTTCCTCACTTTTCAGATGTTAGAGGCCCATCTGCATATGCCTCGATCCTGGTAAAAGGGGCAGGATTTCCATAGTCTCTTTTAGTGACACTCTTCTTGCTATCTTTGCTAAACCCAAATCTGGGTTTTCCCAGAGCAATCTAGCCTGGCAGTTGAGATTCATGTGCACAGAGCTGAGAAAGGATTCCAGATCACTCACACTCAATAAATATTACTTCAGCTCTATTTTCATTGAAACAAGGAAACAGGGACTTCAAACCTCATTATTCTCCCCTCCCAACTTCTTCTGATTCCTAGAGAAGAATTCAGGTATGCTCTTATGTTGTTAGCAGATCCCATGCCTCCTCTGCTCGCTGCTGATGACCTAGCAAGAGCCACATATTTCAAATTTTTTTAGAGATTTGAAAACATTTTAAAATATAAATGTAACCCTTTGCCTTGACCATTATCATAAGGAATCCTCAACTGTTAGCAGCTTCCACATGATAAGATTAAACATGTCCTGTCATCCAGAGAGAGCTCTACAGAGACTGGGTGCTATGACCAGAAAGTGCTAGAAATGTCACACAGGGCTTGGGGCAGCATGAACACATCTGGTTGTCTGCACTTAGCCTATCTGTGGCTAAAAATATTATGGGAATTATGGCTACAGAGCTGAAGACTGTAAATGTTATAAAGTACAGTGGTGTAGGCATTCTACAACTGACTGGTGTTGAGTGGAAGCTCTCCTGTCTATATCCAGAAAGATGGCAGGCCAGGTTTACTGTGCCTCAGCTTACTCTGAAAACCATTGCATTTTAAATTTTTCTTAAAAGCATGTAATGGCTTATAAAGCCAGTACACAATTGGGATGTTATCAGGCTACAGTCTAAGTCAAAGAAGCAGCCTGGGGAAATATAACTGTTATTGATGTTTTCCAGCTTGTCAGCTAGAAAAGAATAGATTTCTACTTTATTTTATGTACTGAAATAAATAGCAAATGAATCAAACACATAAATGTGAAAAAAATCATGAAAGTATACGAAATTAAAAATATGCCTGTTGTGTGGTCAGGCTTTTCTAAATATGACAACAAAAATTGCAAAAATAAAAAGGCAGCTCACAAAGAAAAAAATGATCTTAAACTCATGTGAAGGTGCCTTACCTTACTTATAGGAAAAAAAATGTACACCTATTACATTGGCAAAGCTAAATCTCTGAACATATTCTGTTGGTGAAGAGCTGGGAATAGAAGTTGGGACAACTTCTTTAGAGGTTGTTCCACCTAATCTATTACATTTCTAAGTGTATATGGCCTCTGCACAGAAATTGAGATTTCAGGATTTATCCTATAGTCATCTTGGACAGAAACAGACCTGTGTGAAGTAAACAACCTATATGGCTAGCAGCAGAAGACAGATTAAATAAGTCATGGTGTGTCTCTATAATGAAATACTATGCAGGTTTGAAAAGAACAAGGCAGGAGTGCATATAACCAATGCAGTATAATCAAAGTGGATATAAGGAATAAGGTGCTGCCATTTAAATTCAAACCAGAGACATAAGATGAAATGAATGATAACAGTGTTACGGTTGCTGAAACTGGGTAGATAGACTTTCACTGTACTCTCATTGGTAGTGTTTGAAAATTTCCATAATCCCTCCCTGCAGAGAGACAGGTAGAGCAGAGACTTTCCCTGTACTCTAAACTTAGGTTTTACAGAAGGCTGATAACAGTGATTGCTTCTGAGAAGGGAGCCTGGTGGCAGGTGGGAAAGAGGCTAATTGTTCTCTGCAGAGAAGTTCCAGTATAGGCTTACATTACCTATTAATAAATATGGAGGTTAAGATATCTGGCACCCATTTTCCATGTACAGTCTGCATGTTTATGGTACAGAAATGAGTGGAGGACATATACTCCTTTAAATACTACAATCATAGGACATCTTCTCTGGCAATTTTCGTGTTCTCTGAAATTTTGTTACTCTAGAACATTTTAGAGACCAGTGCTCAAACCGCAACCCAAAATCCACTTATTTATCACAAAGTGCCAACACTGTAATTAAACCTGAATACTGAGGTTTTAGTTTAGGAAAAATAATTCATACATTAACATTTTTTGTTTTACAAAAAAAGTCACACATGAGCATAGGTTCATCACCACTGCTCCAGGGAGAAAGATAGGTGCCTCCACTATAGTGCACACTTTTAGGATGGTGGATGGGTTTGCCACATAAGTAATTAGTAAGTGACATGCAACCAAGGAGTTTCTGAAGTATTGGGCAAGGAGAGGTTAGCAGGAGTCTAAAACCATGGTAGCTACACTTTAGATTTTAGGAAGAATAGATACTTTTAATAACCCTTGTTTCATCGACTGATACCATGAAAGGACTGAGATTTTACTCCTAAGATACACATCAGCATATTTCCTATATGTTTACCTGTGTTTAAGAGTTCAGTGTGCCTGAAATAAATAGCCCATCTGGCCTTGCTAAGTGGGGAAGAACAGTTGTATAGGT